TGAGTGTCTATTGAACTATGGATAGAATTAACATTTTTTAACCTTAGGAAACGATTAACTCGTCCTATTCGAGTTCATATTCATTTGATTCACTTGTCCTATTCGAGTTCATATTCATTTGATTCACTTGTCCTATTCGAGTTCATATTAATTTGATTCACTTGTCCTATTCGAGTTCATATTAATTTGATTCACTTGTCCTATTCGAGTTCATATTAATTTGATTCACTTGTCTTATTCCAGTTCATATTGATTTGATTCACTTGTCCTATTCCATTTCATATTGATTTGATTCACTTGTCCTATTTGAGTTCATATTCATTCGATTCACTTGTTCTATTCGAGTTCATATTGATTTGATTCACTTGTCCTATTCGAGTTCATATTCATTTGATTCACTTGTCCTTTACCAGTTTATATTCATTTGATTCACTTGTCCTATTCCAGTTTATATCCATTTGATTCACTTGTCCTATTCCAGTTCATATTCATTTGATTCACTTGTCCTATTCCAGTTCATATTCATTTGATAGACAGTTATTTGTGGTCATATTACTGATTCATATAAACTGTATGAATTTCTATATCGATCAATATATTTGGATATATTGCGTTTTCATCTTACACATAATACCAATTTTCTTTATTTCAAAGTTATGATTTTTGTCTCCAATATTCGGCAAATTCTTTCCACTAGAAAATCCAGGATCAGCATTATTAACTGTTTCTCTCCTTCCTTCTACGTGACGGATTAGCTGATGCACGAATTCTCGCGTGTCTCTGCGCTTTTCCGACAGAAGTCATTAGAACTCTATTAACCCACACTGCGAAAATCAAAGAAAGCGAATTTTTTTACATGTCTTGCTAATTGTCAATACCTTACTGAAAGGAAGTCTTTTGAAAAAAATTAAACATTGACTTTTAATTCATCACTCGAACTTTTTTATGAAAAACAGAAAAAGAAAGTAAAATAAATCTATACATTATCATAGACAATTTATTCCATTCATACATTCTAGTCTCACGTTTCTCTGGGTAAAGTATCCTCTTGTTTTGATTACAAAGTTGAACACTTGCTTTTATTAACTTTTTCATTTCCATCCTCTTCATTATTACTATGGTTTTCCCCAGAGACGCCATGTTTTTTTGTTTTTTTTTAATATCATCAGGTTGTTTTTACTTCATGTCAGCTTTTCCTTAGTAAATATTTTATTGCTTTTTCATGATCTTTCATCTTATTTCAAAACAATTTGTCTTGCATTTTCTTTTTCCTTTTTGTCGTCTTTATATTTTGCTTCTGTTTTTCTCGGGTAGGAGGAGAAACTCTACTCAAAAATATGTATGCGACATGATTTTAATACTTCAAAAGTTATTTTACTGGATAGCCGTATCTTAGTAGAAGCGCCGTTTATTTTAAACAGAATTTATTTTTCCGGTTCAATTTATTTGATTCAACTTGTCCTCATTCGAAAAGTTTCAAACAATGATGGATTTTATATTGCTGTATTCCGGTTGAAATTCAAGCGCCAGGAATGAATATATGAAAATAATGTTTAAAGTAATAATTCAAACTGGTAAATCAGGTTATAGTTCCAGGAATACGTGTTAGTAGCAATATATATACAGTCTTTGGTATTGATTCGCTGTATGAGTTTACATATTCATTTCTCTCGATTCACGTTGTCCTATGTATATACTGGGTGAGTCCATTTGTGTAAAAGGAGAACCCTTAACACCCCCTCTTTAGATTTTTTGGGGAGTTATATAATCATTTTTTTTTTTCCTGCTATCCTTCTAATTTCTGTCTCTTCTTGTGGTCTTTGATTCAGTTCAAAGATAATCATCATTTGCTTGGCTTTCAACCCGTCTTTGAATTTGTATTTGGTCAATATGGCTTCTGGTTAAATTTTTTCTCGTTGTATTGTGTATATCACGTTTCATCTGTTAATTATTTTTTTTTCAAAGCTCTCTTTATTTTCTCTTCTTTTTTAAATACTGGTTGGACGTTTACTTTTAATTCAATTCTAGCTTCACCGACCCAACCCGCTCGAAAATATTCATTTTATGTCATTCTTCCTTTAGTTTTATAACTTCTGATATTCGCACTTTATCTTTTTTACAAAAAGGAGCTGATAGGTAAATCCCATATTACGAATATTTTTCTTGTTTTACCGTGAAATTTTACATTTAGGATTATTCTCCTTCGAATTTTATGCGCTTTTCTGAAACAAAATTAGCAATTTTCTGTGTATGTAACAATGTTGATCTATTAAGCTTTCTCCATGTTTGTAGGTTAATTATCGTCAGATCTGAACCTGTGTCAAGTTGTATTTTTATTTTTTATTTAAGATTTCAAGTTCCACATATTTCCTTACGTTCGTATTGTCTTCGTCATTTCTAGTAGCTCTTATCCTACTAGTAAATTTTTTGTTCTACATTGGGATGCCTTTTTTTTTCCACACGCAAGACAGTTTTTATATTTAAAACGACATATCCTTATTCCAGTGTAGTCCTCCACATCGATAACATGCAGATGGGGGGGGACTTATATTTACTTTGATTTTCGTCATTGTCATTATTCCAGGACGTTATACATTTTTTCATTATTATAAAATGTTAGTTTTTTTCTGAAAATGTTCTTTCATTATTATAGAATTTTTGTTTTCTTTCCGGGAAGGGTGAAAAACGTAAACTTTTGTTTAACTTACGAATATGTGATACCTCCTCAATATCCTTCGAGTCTTTCTTTATACTTAGACATTTTTGACAGTCTTCTGATAGTTTTGTAGTGTTAATCCAGGTTCATTTTTCAGCTTTGAAAGCATTCTTTTGCGCATTTCACTATATTTTGGTGAGACTAATCCTTGTACAAAAATAAGACATTTGAAATTGTCCGGGGTTAATTCTGCCAACTTGAAATCGTCGCAATATTTATTCACGATTGCGGCGAACGTAGAATAGTCCCCATTTTCATCCTTTACAAGGTTAAGACATTTCCACGTTTTGTGAAAAAGTGACGTTTTCGGGCTAAAAACCTCCGTCGGGCATGTAACTCCTTCATCAAACGTTAAATCATTTGTCTTCTTTGGCAAAATGTAATCCACAAATTTTGTGTATTCTTCCGTTCCTAATTTTCTGAGTAATAGCCGTAGTTTTTTTTTCCTTCTGTCCAGTTTTGACAATCGATGTTGAAGATGTCTTCATGACGTCTGAAAAAATCCTCGAAATTTTTATCCTCTTCTAGGGAATATTTGAATGGTTCTATCGTGTTCCATACTGCGTCTTGAGGAAAAGTCGCCTCTTTTTCAATATTTTGTTGTTGTGTATTACTCGCTACTTTTAAAATTAGCTCCTGATGTTGTAATTGTCTTTCTTCATTGTGCATTTGTCTTTCATGATTTTCCTTCTGCGTTTGTAGTAGTATTTTTTCCATTCTTTCTTGGAATTGTAATTGTTGTTCACTTTGGTGTTTAACAAGTTCTACTAAAATAATATCCTCCATGGTAAGAGTCTTACGAAAAACTCGATTTTTTCGTATTTTAATACTGTAACACTTTGTTACCCAGTTGTTGTGGATACTGGAAAAAATGGCAATTTTCTCTTTTGAGTCTCCAAGAAATGCAAATTCTTGTCGCCCAATTTTTTTTTCGAAACCAAGTCGTTGTGGTCAGCAAGGAGAATATTTTTTTGTACTCTTCCTGTGTGAGTTTGAATTTCATCGTCGCCAAGTTGTTGTGGTTGACGAGAGAATTTTTTGTCTTTCCTTCCGTGTGAGTTCAAGTCCTCGTCGCCAAGTTGACGAGGGAGAAGTTTTCGTTTTGTTCTTCCCGTGCTTGGATATCCTCGTCGCCAAGTTATTGTTCCGGTTGAAATCCGGTACCAATAAATAACAAACGCCAAGAATGAATATATGAAAATAATGTATTAATTGTAATAATACAAACTGGTAAAGCAGGTTAGTAGTTCCAGGAATACGGGTTAGTAGCAAAATATATATATACAGTCTTTGGTATTGAAGTATCGCTGTATGACTTCTTACTGAGTCTACGTGCTCGCTCACTGTGACTCCTACAACGCTCTTGCCTCACCCTCACTCTTCAGGTTACCTACAACCTGTCACTCTTGGCTCGACTGTTCGGTCTTCCTCTCACGGGTTTTCCCGTAGTATATGTATATACTGGGTGAGTCCATTTGTGTAAAAAGAGGAGAACCCCTCAACATATATATTAATCTAAGCAAAGCCAACAAGGAATATAGCCCAACGAGACTTGTATAAAAGAGGGATGGTTGTCTAAATACGCAATAATTAAATTACATTACCCGACAGCCAAGAACGAAAGTATCCGCAGTACCATGTCAGTCTTTTTTAACGAAGTTTATATATATATATATATATATATATATATATATATATATATATATATATATAATGTGTAAATGTACAAAATAGGAAAGAACACGGTAGATAAATAACCCGGAATTCTTTAGTATTTTTTTTTTTATTTAAAAAAATACAAAAACAAAACAAAAACAGTGCTCCATACAGATTAGAGCTTAAATTATAATTATTTTTTTAAAAACATATGATTCCTTCATTACATAAGAGTTCTCCTATTTCAAAACAAGAGCAATAACCTCAATCTAATTATTAAAATTAAATTGAATTAAAGTATCAAGACCTGTTTTATCCTCAAGCGAAAATTTAGGAATATATATATATATATATATATATATATATATATATATATATATATATATATATATATATTCTATTCAAAATTTTCTCGTGTATATGCATGACTGGTATCTATAAATATATTGTTTATTTTAAACAGTATTTATTTCATCTACTCCTCTGCGCACTCAAGATAACATATGATGTAAACCTTCATCTTTTATGTACAACATCAGTGCATCTTGTGAACGAACATGGCTCTCCACATTTCCCTGTTTTCCTTTTGCTCGAATCACTTTTCACCCTTTACCCTTTCATTGTAAATATGAATTTTCGTGTTGATCTTTTTTTTTTCTTTCTCACATGTTCTTTCCATAGAGTATTTAGCGTTTGTCAGGAAGACAATTTTGATATCTGTGAAATGTCAACAGTATCCACAACCATACATGACATTCGATATTGCACAGCATTTCAACACATTTTTCTAATTGTTATCAACTAAGAAAACAACCCACTTTGTATATGAAACAGTTTATCTTACTCATGACACTGCGACATAAATTAATGGTTGACAAGCATGTCTCGCTAGATCAATTACGGCTAAAAATTGAGTTCGATCTTCTCAGATTACACCATACTTTAGACTTCGTGTTCCACATCTAAGTTACGCTTATAACATTTCATCTTAATTTTTCGTTCATGCCCACGACTCAAAGTATAATACAACTCACTTTTCGCTATACTTCGCTTCCAATCATATTTATAATAACCTTGTCTATGACCTGCAACAATGACAGCCAACACTCTATTCACTGCAGAATTTATTTCCGTCAATCTGGTATATATATATTTTTTAAGCATTCAATCCCAAGCAAGGCGGGAAGCAAGGGGTTACAGAGTTGAAGCGAGAGCAAAGTGGAGTGATAGAGGAAAGTATGAAGACATGGTTAGGGGACAGATCAGGGCATCTAGAGACGTCGATTGACATTACATTTGAATAGTTGGTGATTATAGCTATCAGGAAAACAAGAAATGGGGAGGGAGTTCCACAGGCGAGACGTGCGAAACAGGGAGCTATTGGAGTAGAAGAAACGGCTACATTTAACAGTTTCCACAGTGAAAGGGTGAGAGCGAGATGCCAGCCTAGTTGAACGCTTAAATTCATGAAGTCTTGGAACCAGCGAAAGCAGCCCATCGGAACATTTACAGTGAGAGTATTTGTAAAAAAAAACGGAGGGAGGCGACGGCATGTATATGAGAGAGCGGCTGCAGACGGGATGCCAGATCAGATGCCATCCAAATCAGATGCGCATCAGTCCATGGATTTTATCAAGGACCTTGAGGCAAACAGAAGGCTTCAGACCATATATGGCAGCAATACTCCATGCAAGGTCGAATGGTTGATTTGTAGATTAGAAGGATTGACTACGACGAGAACAATTTCCTGGCGCGGCATAGGGAGCCGACTTTCCTAGCGGTGGACGAAGCTCTTGACTCAATGTATTCGTTCCATCTCAGGTCAGCGAGACCGAGCAGCCGCAAAGAGGTGCTTTAGTGGAGTTGAGCGTCAGACCTTCTAATGGGAGGCAGGGATGGTTCTCTCTGGTGAGTAATAGAGAGCAGTTTTGTTTTCGAGACATTAAAGTTAACCAGACAATTCCTGTCTCAGTCCACAACCGATTTAAGGTCCTTTTCAAGACAAACGGCTAGGTCAGTTTTGTCAACGACACTAGATTTGTTTTTGAGGCAGGAATAAATAGTAGTGTTGCCCGCATAGATGCCTACTTGGGAACCTATGACATCAGGAAGTTCGTTAATGAATATAAGGAACGGAGTAGGGCCTATGATAGAGCCTTGAGGAACACTTGCATTCGTAGGATATGAGCTGGAGGAGAATCCGTTGAGAACAACCTTCAATGTACGGTTCAACATGAATGATTGTATTAAATTGAACAATCGACCCGAAATTCCATAATCCTGAAGCTTGTGAAGAAGGCCGGCCTGCCAAACCCTATCAAACGTTTTGGAGATATCTAGAGCCACGGCAAGAGCTTAATTTTTAAATTATAGTAATATCTAAATATAAATGATGAATCGCTACCCGGAAAGCAGAGAAACAGTGTTAGTCATTTCCCTTGTCCACTAGTAATACCACAAATGACAAACTCTCAGAATCTGTGTTCCGATATTAAAATTATTCCAGCTAATGATAGATTTATAAAATGTACTATTTTATTCTGACTCAATAGTATATTAACAGGTCTCTCGGTGAGAATAAACTATGATAACTAAACACGGATCTTTGTTAGATTCAAAATAGCATCTAAGTCCAGTATGGCACCGTAACCTGATTACTATCAAGAATTCCTAACCAAGTAGAATTAGTTACAAAACTAAAGTGACAAGAGTGATCGAACTTACGACATTGAAAAATGCCATTGGAAACTCCTGAAAGACGAAATATCCGATCTTTCTTCAACTGTTCAATGACCCCAGGCAAAAGATGATTCCACAAAACCAATAGGTTTTCATTTATTTGAATTTCTCTTATTTTCTTTATTGACTTTTCTTTTTCTTTTCACTTTATTCTGCTTTCTTTATGCTTTTTTTGTTCTCGTAGGTCTTCCGTCTTCATCTATTTTTCCCATTCGATATATCATCTGCAATGTTTTTATTGACAGGCTAATTCTCCATACATCAGCTTTCTCAATTATTTAAAAAACACAATCTTTACTTTGTTATTTCTTATTTTCATTGCCAACTTGGTCATTGTTTGATTCTTCGAATAATTTTCTGTCAGTAACAATTTTACTTCTCTCTGGGATAGATTTTATTTCCACTACATGCATATGGATTATTCTCCTCATCTTCGTTGTTTTTAGCACAACGTTCTGCCCTCCAGCGTTCATCAGGTGTTTGTCGTCCCGTGTAACGTTGAGGGAATTTCGAACTGAACCCTCTATTTAAACTAAAGGGGTTGACTGCTTTTGTTCCATTTAGTATGTGTATCTAGGGATACTCGTCTAGTTCGCATTTTTATTACAAATAACATATTGATTGTTTTATTGTCTTTCATTTTCTTTTCTTCTTTATCTATTCTTTTTAATTTTTTTATTTGCTTTTCGTAATTCTTTTTTCTTCATTCTGTCTTTAGTTTTTCTTCATTCTTTTTATTTTTCTTCCATTCTTTTTATTTTGCTTTCATTCTTTTTATTTTTATTTCATTCTTTTTATTATTCTTTCATTCTTTTTTATTTTTGTCATTCTTTTTTTATTTTTCTTTAATATATATATATTTTTTATTTTTCGTTCATTCATTTTTTATATTCTTCTAAACATTATTATTTTTGTCATTTTTATTTGTTTCTTTATTTAATCTTCTTCAGAACATAAACTTCTTCTTTATTTCTTCTTTATTTTCTTAATTGTCTACTTATTTTCATCATTTCTTTTTCGTTTTTATTTTTGACTATTTTATTTAGGTTGTCTCTAGTTTATTTTTTCATTTTTTACTTTATATCATTTTTAATTTTAGTAATCTCTTGATATTTTCTTTATTAGTTATTTGATTTTTTTCATTTTTTGTTATTAATTTTAATTTTCATTTCTTCCTCGTACTTCATTTTTTTTCCTTAATTTTTTCGTTATTTTCTTCAATTTTTAATTTTTCTACTTTTTCATCATTCTTCATTTATCCTTAATTTTTTCTTTATTTTCTTCACTTTCTAGATTTTCCTTTTCCTCATCATTATATATTTTTCCTAATTTTTTCTTTATTTTCTTCACTTTCTAGATTTTCCTTTTCCTCATCATTATATATTTTTCCTAATTTTTTCTTTATTTTCTTCACATTTTATTTTTTTCCATTTCTTCCTCATTTCTCCTTCATTTTTTCTTTACTTTCTTCACTTTTATGTTTTCCATATCTTTATAATTCTACATTTTTTCTTTCATTTTTTTCACTTTCCATTTTTTCCATTTTCATTTTTTCCATTTTTATTTTTAATTTCTTCCTCATATTCATTTTTTTCCTTAATTTTTTCGTTATTTTCTTCAATTTTTATTTTTTTCTACTTTTTCATCATTCTTCATTTATCCTTCATTTTTTCTTTATTTTCTTCACTTTCTAGATTTTTCTTTTCCTCATCATTATATATTTTTCCTAATTTTTTTCTTTATTTTCTTCACATTTGATTTTTTCTATTTCTTCCTCATTTTTCTTTATTTTCTTCACTTTTATTTTTTCCTTATCTTTATAATTCTTCATTTTTCCTTCATTTTTTTCCTTTTTATTTTTTTCCATTTTTTCATCATTCTTCATTTTTTCTTTCATTTTTTATTTATGTTCTTCATTTTTATTTTCTTCGTTTCTTCTACATTTATTCTTTTTTAGCTTTACTATCTTTTTTCATTTTCTTTAATTTCCTTTATTCTTTATAATCTTCTTTTACTTTAATTTGCTTCTTCGTTTCTATTTATTTTCCTCAACTTTCATTCTTCTTCAAGTCTTTATTCTTTTTCTCTTTAATTTTTGTTCACCCCTCAACGTTTTATTCATTACCACACCCTTTTTCATAACTGTTTTTTTCTTATTTCTCTTCACCTCTTCTTCCTCCTCACATGCCTCATGGTTGTCTCATCTTTTTTTCGTTTCATTTTTTTGAAAGGTTTGCTTGATTTTGAATTATGTCTTCTCCCACTTCCCTACATTCATTTTTTATACCTCATTTTTTTAAAAATTTTCTTCTGTATTTTTATTCTACTACATTATTTCCCCATAATTCATTTTAGTTTTTCTTTCTACTTCACTAATATTTTTCTTATTTTCCTTTTCCTTTCATTTCCCTCACTGACATCTTTCTTCTTGGTACGACACGAATGGCAAACGATCTTTTAAAAAGAGGACATTCAGCCACCATCTCGAAATTATAGATATTTACAAAAATCAAAATATCGATGTATTTTGACAAGACTGTAATAATATTTTCTTTCATTCATTTTTATATTTGTCGCTTCATCTTTTATTTCTGTTTCGGAAGTTCGAGGTTTTACCATTCTCATCGATTTACTCGTCTGCCGCAGTCCTCGAATGCAAACGTCACGACACAAATCCGTTGCCTTTGTTCGCTTATGGCAGCAGGGAACTGCATTCTTTTGTAGAGTCTCCGAGAAATCATGGCATTACTCTTTATTCTTGATTTTTAATTGCGACGATGATTTCCAATATGGCGAAGGATTTGAATCCGACATTTTTTGTGACTTTCCTTTGTAAATATCCATAATCCTGCAGAATATTCCTTTGAAAAGAAAATGTTTTTCATAAAATTATTAGACATTGTCTGCATCCATACATATGAGTAAAAATGATTACGCAGTTTGAAGATTATTTTTCGAATTTTTAAGTATATATATATATATATATATATATATATATATATATCACTTAGTATGAATTATGTTTGTAATTTTTGTTTGCATATGTGTATATCGATTCTGTGATTCGTGAAGACCTCGATTATTTTCATCTATCGACGTCTGTTAAACTAAAGCATTGCACACACGCAAACACACACAGGCATATATAGATAGATAATTATGTGATAGATAATTATTATGACATGATCATTAGATAGATAGATAGATAGATAGATAGATAGATAGATAGATAGATAGATGAGGATGCACGGTGGAGTAACGGATAGCTGCTCGTATTGAGGAATCGGATAGCAGAGTTCGAATTTATGTCGAATCCATTACATCCACTTACGTACTAATAATCTCAGGAAAGCTACCAATCCTCTTCTTCTGCCCCCAGCTATGGGTAAATAGCAGAACAGACTAGGCTTGATGGCAACTGGTCAACCGCAGAAAGAAATGACAACCTACTGCGGGAAAAAAATCTGCCTCATCAATCATGTATCAAATCTACATGATCGCCTAAGTGTGTATTATGCATTATCGTAACTGACTGATATATCTATACATCTTATATATATATATATATATATATATATATATATATACACTAGAATAATCCTAAGGAGCCAGGCAAACCTACCCAGGTTTTATCAACAAATATTTTTCTGTTATTATCCTTTTTTACCCTGAAGATCCTTTTAGGTTTGCCTGGCTCCTTAGGATTTATTCTAGTTTATCGCTCTATTTAGCGTATTGAGCATTCTACGTTTTAGTCTTTCTATGCGTTTGTTTTTTTTTTCTTTGAACTAAGGACTTAAAATATTTGACGATTGGTTAATGTTAATGTTCTTGGTTCTATATATATATATAGTGCTTTCTGCATTCTGTTGAGGTTTCTTTCAAACTCGATAAATTGCTTAATTATAATTATCAAATCCTCCTAATAATTTCTATCATTTATATATCATTGCTTCAACGGGCTTCTAATGCTCAAGTTTGAGCGGCTTGGTGATAGTAGTCGTTGGTGATAGTAGTCGTTGGTGATAGTAGTCGTGGCTCCAGGGGGCACAGTCCTATGGTTAGAGTGAATCTGAGTTGAGTTCCACCACGGAATATGTGAGCGTGCAGTGCTATAGTGAGTCTGATTTGCAACTTCTTCGTCATCGAGGCCTGTTAGAACAGTTGCTATGACGTTTGCATGCTAACCTGACTGTCGGGTTTCGATTCTCGGTAGTGGATGCTGATGAGTCCCAAATATAGGACGAAACGACCATTCTGCATTCTGTTGAGGTTTCTTTCAGACTCGATGAATTGCTTAATTATAATTACCAAATCCTCCCAATAATTTCTGTGTGTGTATATATATATATATATATATATATATAAAAGGTATCTTCATTCAAACACGTTTCATCCTATACTATAAGCATACTCTGTCTACTCATTTTCATATTGATCTTTTCCAATTGTTTAATGCGTATCTTGATGTTAAATGAAATTTATCAAGAAAAGCGCCGTAATTTCTTTTAACCCAAGTACATTCGACCTTTCCTAAGATAATCTTTCGGGAGTAAATTAAAAAGACAACATATTGTAAATGCAATAACATCTGCATTCCGTTGTGATAGTTTTTTAAAATTTACCCATTGTAGTTATGTCGTTAGACAATTGGTAAGGATCAGTATAAAAATAAGTAGGTACAATATGTCTATATTATTCAATGAAAGATGATGAGAAAATCAGAATAAATAGAAAATATCTTCTACAATAGCTTAAACTACATCATGACTCAAAATACTGCATAAAATCCGATATCCAAAATTTAAAAAAACAACTTACCCCAAACAAAAGTATTTGGAACAGAAAAAAATATAAAAATAAGAGTATAAGTAAGTAAATAAAATAATAAATTTAAATGATAATTATATTGATAATAATAAGAACTCGAGGACATGACTATAAATAATTAATATTAGTTGTTTCCTTATAAGGAAACATTTAGCATCCATTACCCGAACAACCAGTACTAGTGTTGATTGATTTTTTTTTAAATCCTTCTCTTAAATCAATTTTTCATGAAAATATATTTCTCGAGTTCATTTATCGCGATTTCTTGTATTAAGGAAGGTTACCTTCTTAACTTTTTATTTGAAGTTGTTTGAAACGTCAACATATTGATTATCTATTTATTTTCTCGCTAAGTTACATGTCATATCCAGTCATTTTAGTTGTTGCTGCTCGTGAAAGTCCTCAAGCGATGGGATTTCTCTTATTTCGTACACTTCGTTGTAATTCTATAACGTTAAAACTCATAGGCTTCTCACACTCAAAGCCACATCTAATCATTGATCTTAGGAAGTAGTTTCATATAGTTGACAGCGTGGATGGGTTTGATGCCATGTAAAGATTCTTTATGAATGTCTCGATTTAATGGGTTCTTTTTAAACATGACTCGCTTTTCGTTAATATTTCAGTTCTGGTTCAATTTTCAGTGTTCGGTAAAACTACAGCAAACACAACCGTTTCTATCTTCAATTACCTTATCTCTTATACCAAATTTGTTATAACTGATCCATAAAACCGAGGAATTTGAAGTGTTTAACATTTACTAATTCCATATCCTGGATTTTTAGACGAACTCGAGTCATGTGATATAATTTCTTTCATTTCAAGTACTGAGCATTTGATCTGTTTTGGAAAGGTTTACCTTGACTAATAATTTTTGGATTACTTAGTAAGTTATGCTTCAGGTACTTGGAATGTCGTACTGAACCGTTTATTTCACTCACTGGGGTAGACTGTTCTAGTTCCACGGGTAATGTTTTAATGGATGTCAGTTGTCAGTTATCTCCTGTTAATTCCCCTCTCCAAGTTCTCCACTGCCTTAACCGGGTATTGAACTCACACTCTTTGGATCCTGAAGAGCTAAAACGTTGAAATACTATATGGAGACAAAGATGAGGATAATAGTCCGAATAATGTAAATAGTGTACAAAATACCTCATCTCAGAAATATAGACAGATACTGAAGAGCTAAAACGTTGAAATAAATATGGCGACAAAGATGAGGACAATAGTCTGAACAATGGAAGTAGTGTACATGATACCTCATCTCAGAAATATAGACAGATACTGAAAGGCAGAAACGCTGTAATAAATATGGCGACAAAGATGAAGCCAATAGTCCGAATAATATAAATAGTGTACATAATACACAATTTCAAATGCGATCTATTTTTTTTCTAATGATAAATTATATAAAATCTGTCCGAATGTTCTTTTTTATCCGAGCGCTTTCGGCTATACATTCAGCCATTTTCAAGGATTAAATATTTTAACTGTTAAAGAAGAAATAGATTGTTTTATGTATGTTTTATAAAATGTTTACATTTTTCAAAACACGCTCAGTATATTGTGTCCATGTTCAAAGTTAATGTCATTAAGTGTTGTTTTTTTTGTTTTATTATTAAGGCTTCCATTATTTTTAGCCTTTTTTGCATGTAGATGATGTTATAAAAATAAAATACATTCGGACATTTTTATATAATTTATCATCGAAAAGAAAAAGAATTATAGATCGCATGTAAAATTGTTTAAAAAAACTAAATAAAAACACCTTGTCTGTCGCATTCAATGAAATGTATATATATATATATATATATATATATATATATATATATATATATATATATATATATATATATATATAAATATATATATATATAGGTACCTCCACGAAATCGCTAAAAAAAGAGCATAGGTATCCAATTAAAAACATAAAAAACATGATTTGCATTCCTCAAAGCCCTGTGCTTTTAATTATTGTAATCACTAAAACCGATGCGATCAAATTTCTAGCGTTTTCATAAAATTAGTTATGGTGGGGTAATAAATATTTAAAAAAAAATATTTCTACCATGACTTTCATAAAAAAACATATTTCTACCATGACTTTCATAAAAAAACATATTTATA